ATTTCGTCGGATTCGGATCGAATTCAGATCAAAATCCAATCAATTGACAGTCCTAGTGGCGATGTTATCGGGTAAGGGTGAGGATGAGGGTGAAGGTGAGGATGGGAGATGGATGGGTGAGAGAAGGAGAGGGAGAGGGAGAGGAAGTAGAAGGAGGAGGAGAATGATATTTTTATATTTTTATTTGAAGGACCTAAAAGTTTTATTTTCAGTTCTTGGTAAGGGTGGGCATGGTGATGGGAGTGGGGGAAGGAGGAGGAAAATGAGGATAAGGAGGAGGAGGAGGCTTTTCTCTCTCTTTTTTTTTTTTTTTTTTTTTTTGATTTTTTAATTTAATGTATTTGGGATTTATTTGTATTACTTTTAAAAGAATGGGAATATGTGCAATTTTATTTTTTTTTTCTTTTGTTTTATTTAAGGATGATGATATATATGTCATTTTACAATTTTTAATTGAGAAATTGGATAAAAACTTATGAAAATGACGTTTTCCACAATCTAACGTTGAAATAAGGGTGAAAATGCAAAAATATGAAACGTGAGGACGTTTTACACACTAAGAGTGAAACGTAAGGACGTTTTGTGCTAATAAGCCAAACTTGAAAGTGGTAACCTAAATTGCAATTGTCATCCTCTATCTTTATCATCTTTTGCATTATTATCCTCATTTTTTGTGTTTCCAAGGTAATAGTCAATATCTCTCGTATGCGTATTTTTAAGTGGCATTACTTTCCCCCATGTTTTCATTATTAGTGGCTGCATCTCAAGGGAGGATTGTAAAGTTCATTGAAATGGTCAATAGACTCAATACTATTTATTCTTCTTTATGAAAAAGTATATTATTATGCATAGATAAACTAAGGGCCGGACATGGCATTACGTGGTATTAATTAAACTACGTGGCTGACAATTTGGGGGACCCACGCCTCACACAATAACACGGTCAACCCAATTACGTAAAAGTAACCCGACTGAGGTGATGGCAAAATCCTCTTCTCCCCATAGAACGAGACTGGACTGACCTCATTGTACGTAGACCCCCAATGTAGGAACTGCTCCAGACGAGGCGATGGCAAAATCCTCAACAGATCTTGTGCTAAATGATTGACAAGACGCTCATTGCCATCGCCGTCGATGCACACCTATATTGTCAAGTCCAAGCCACCAAGCTAAGCCTTATGGATATAAACGTGGCCTTAGAATTTAATGTCGTAATTGATAGATGTATATGACAAGAGATATCAGTCACTGTGATGAGGCCACGTGCCTATCATCCAATGGGCCTCACTCATTCTGCTCAAGTATAAAATCTCACACTTAGTGATATTCAAAGGTAATGTAAGTTTTGACTCTCAAAGTTATATTCTTACTACACACATTTTATTGATTGATCCCCAAGTCGACCCCCTTTTTTCCTTATTGGAGGCCCACATTCAAAGCTCTCACACACTCTAAAACTATTTTCCCAATTGACTTGACCATTGGAGTGCGCGCGGTTAACTCTACCTCCTCCGGAAAAGGCCAGATGTGAGTAACAGTTTGTCCAAGTATGCGGGAATTCAGCTTGCGTGGTCGTGAGAGACATTGGGATCTGTTGGCCACATCATTGATACGTTTTTTTTGGGTCAACATATATCATTTCTAATTTAATACTTTAAGTCAATATAGACCATCAAAGATGTGCCAGATGCATATCCATACGCCACATAAGGCCTCATTGTAACATCTCATGAGAATTTTATGTATCGTTTTCTAATGTAATGTTACTTTTTGACTTTACACGGGAAATTAAAGGTGTAGTGAGGGTGAAAAGAGAGAGATATTCCAACTTCAGAGGGAGAAGTAAACACTTGTCCATGAATTTAAGTTTTCTTCTTTTGATGTAATTTCTTGTTAGTTCTGATTCTGGTTAATGTTAATAAGGGTCTGTTT